CCCCAAAACCCCAAAACCCCAAAACCCCAAAACCCCAAAACCCCAAAACCCCAAAACCCCGTTGGGTTAGAAATATGTAGAAAACTTATAATTTAAAACAAGTATGGAAGAAAGAGACAAACAAAAATTCGAGTATTCCCCTGAACCTCCTTCCTACATCGAGGGTAGGACATTCAACCTGCAAGAAGTCACCTCTAACACAGATCTGTTCCAAAAATCAGACAATCTTTTAGGCATCAACACTGAGGATGAAGAGACTGAGCAGCAAACCCGCATTAGTGGTAATAGCAAGACAGTATTACAGGTCTTAAACCAGGACAATGTCCAGAAAGAAATCTTCTGAGGGACTCATAAAGACATGTTAGATGATTCAGAATCAAGAGATGCCCATCAAAACACCATTGGATGCATTGTTAATAACTTAGAAGAAATAGACTGCCACAATAACGAAGATACTCTTGAATACAACAAGAGCCAATCTACTATAGAATGGGACGGCCCCAAGAACTCTCATGATGGGATCCCCGAAAAGTCCATCGAAATGCTTTCCTCAGATTCATGAAAGGAAATTGCAGTTTCAAGGGAGACCTGAATCCCTCTGAAAAGGCCAACTTCTTCACTTCACTTAACGAATAATCCTGATGAAAGCAAGGAGAGAAACTCTAATGAACTAGACGAGGTATCAGCTAAGCTTATGGCTCGAATAAAGCAGATGAGATCCCAGAAGAAGGAGAGCACTGCTTGAAAACAACTAGATTATAATAACTCTAAAGATCAGCCTTTTAACCTAAACTCACCAATGCATATCTCACCAATGGAGAATCAGAATATCAAACTCGAGACTGTTAATGAACAGGATGAAATTCTACATCAAAATCTCTTAACTCTCCAAAAGCTAAAATCTGCTCCTGAAATTGTGCACAATATGCCAAATGCAAACAGAAGAGCTGTAGCCCAGATTCTTCAACAACAGAAAGAGCGAGAAGTTGAGCTTCTTCAGTCATTCAAAGTAAGTAACAAGCTCCTTATTTCTAGACCCAAATCTCTCACCTAAAAGAGATGCTAAAATAAGGAAATTGCTATAAAATTTGTACTCTTAGAGCGTAGCAAGAACCTCCAAACAGAAAATTCTAAACTACGTGATCTTTTCGATAAAAAGAACATTCTTGATCATAAAAGAAACCTGAAGGATGTTTCATGCCAAGTGAGCATCGGCTCAAGCTGTATGGCTAACCAAGTCACAAACAGAGGCTCAATCGGCAAATTTTATAAAGAAATGTTCCCGAATAATTCTAAAAATAAACCAAATCCTGAAATAAAAGTGGAAATTCAGCCTGAGCCTGAGAATATTGTCAAGTCCAGAAATCAAAATGAATTCGAGAAAGATCCTCACTCAAACAAGCCAAGCATCCAGGAATCTGTTAGTCAAGCTACTATAGGCTTATCTGCAGAGAAACTTAAGAAAATTAAGACACAGTCTACCAACCCCAGACTTCGCAGGAGAAGCCGAATGGACCGGATAAAGAGTAAATCTAAAAAGCCAGCCCGCAAGGACTTCGCTCCAGAAACAACAATAATTGTAATTCAGAAAACTCAAGAAAACCAACAAAGCTATACAAGACAGATAGAAGACTTCAACTGTCTCGAGGAGGAGATCCAGAAAATTAAGGAAGGAACTATGACCATGGGCACTTCGAAGACAAAGTATAAATCAGAAAACAGAGCCAGACCTAAAACATCTCATAAAAACCAGCCGTTCCTTCATTCACAAAAGAAAGGGAAACCTCCACTGGTAAGCCCAACATCACAGGACAAGAGGAAATACTCTCAGATTCCTCGCTTAGGAGAAAAGCGAGAGTCAGTAAAATCCAAAAGAGGTAGTCATGCTTCCTCAGCTTGAGCCATGAACAGCCACAAATCGAGTAGGACAAACAGCCGAGAATCCAAACAAAATATGAACAGAACCAGAAGAACCAAAGATGCCTCGAATGCATACCAAAAGCGGCCTATAAACCCTCATCCTAGCTCTAAAAACAACGGAATTGAAGACCTCATCGAGCAGAAGAAGCAAGCTCTAGGTATCAAGCCCTTAGATTCATCCATGAAGAACTACAAACAGGTCCTGAATGAGAATAAGAAACTCCAGAAAATCGTTGAAGAACAAAAACAAAAATTACGAAAAATGAGAAAAGAGAGAGTGCAACAAGTTCAGGAAATGAAGAAGGAAATTGAAGAAAAGAAGAAGCTTGAGCAGTACATTAAGCGAGACACTCCTCTCAAAGGCAGAAAGAATCGGTCAGGTTACAGGAAGGAATCAAGAGAGCTCTCAAATGCCTCCAATGATAGCAAGATCTTTCATAAATCACCTAATTATCGTTATAAATCTGAGTATACCAAGTCTAATACCCCTATAACAGATGATTTCAAGCTATACGGTCTTGAAAGTTGTGATAGTGAGAAAAAGACTCAAGATCATAACCGGTGAGGCATCCAGCAGCCTAAAATCGGAGGAAGAGAATACTCAGAAATCATCAGCGCTGAAATTCTCAAGAAATCCTCCAAACAACTACTTCAGACCTCATTCAATAATCCTGAGAAGATAGGAAGGATATATAAAATGGAGAAGTATGAGAATGATTACGAAAAGACATTGACTAACTTCGACAACAATCCATTGACTAAATCTGTATCGTACTGAGAACCTACCACTGCTGCAGAGAACACCCAAAAAGCAATGCCCAAAAGCCTAAAGAAATCGTTCAAATAACGAGTCAATCTTGTTCTCTCCTAATAAAACTTTGGGACAAAATAACAGAAAAGATTTACAGAGCACGACTGACCGAAGAAGTGGTAAAAACTCTTATAATAAATTAAACCCGAATCCACTTCACCACAAGATTATGAACTCTAGAAAAAAGAAGAGCAATTATACATCCCCAACAAAGTTTGGAGAGGAAGATAACAACTCTGTTCGGAAAGGATCAGAGGTCCTTTCAGAAGAAGGGAAGAACATTACTGCTAGAAATCCTTCCAAAGGAGATCTGAGTACTTTGAAGTTTCACACAATCCGGAGGACTAAAGATCTTTCATCCAAAACAAGCCTTAGCAACAAGAAGATTTATAGAATGAGTAATAAATCAAGGGCATCAGACCGGAGCCTATGAGACAATGAGGGTTATCATCATGAATCCTCACTTGGAAGTCCTAAAATGGACTCTACAGGCCTCCTCAAAATCCCTGAAGGAGGCTACGAAGAAGCTGAATTCAACACAATTGAAAGAGATGAAGAGTACTTTTTAAAAATATCCAAAAGCCGTCAGAATGATGTAAATACAAGAGAAAACTTGGAACCCACTTGTAGCTTTGGAAACTAAATTTGCCACCAAAACACATCAGAAAGTTTGAAATCAGAAAAACAGCTAAAGGAAACTTAGACTAAACTTTGTATTAAAAATAAGCCTAAAAGATAAGCAGAGAATAGCCCGAAGGATGTCTGAAATCAACTATGACAGTGTAAAAGTGCTTAGATGATATAGAACATCCTTCTAGCAGTTGGAGCATAATAGCTCTCTCTCGCTCTTTAGGCTGCCCTTTCGCTACCCATTTTCCTTAAGAATTGAAAATAGATGATTGTTCACAGGAAGCTTATCTCTCTCTCAATATTATGCATTAATTAAGGGGTTTTGGGGTTTTGGGGTTTTGGGGTTTTGGGGTTTTGGGG